CGATCTTAGTCATTTGGTCTAGATTATAGGTTCCTATGGTCTATAAGCATGCTTTTACACAAATAGGAAGTTTTTAGTTTTATGACAGTATTATTTTAATTGATTAATTAGAACAAATTTATCTACTTCGATTTATTTTAAAAGGGTTAAATTTTTATGTTATTAAGGTTATAAACTATACAAAACAGCAATATAACAACTTCACGAAGTTGTTTTCCATTAACACATTTCCATTAACACTCTATATTGCTCATTATTTATTCAGTACAATATAACTACAACTTAAATTTTAAATTTTACAACTTAAACTGTAAATTATAACAGTAATTTACGCTATTTTAAACTCTTCTAGACTAGAAAATGATAAGATAATATATAAAAATTATAAATAAAATGTTAAAAAATTACGAACTTATGTACAAAAAATATAACTTTATATTAATGCAACACTCCCCTCCATTACAGCAAACATGGTTTTCCCCACCCCACTCAAAATGGTTAAGTGGGGAGGGACAAGCAAAAAGAAGTTTTTTTTCTCTTCCTCTACCCCCTCATTCCATTCCTTATTTTTTTATTTATCTTAGTATGATAAATATCAAATGCATATTTTATATGCAATAAATTAAAGTATGTAATTTACATATGTACAAATGTAACATTTGACAACATTTTTTATTTCTGTAACAGGAAAAACTACAGTGCAAGTGATAACTCATTACTACTAAATTATTTAAGACAACTTTTAAAAAAACAAAATGACCTCCACATCTGCTTTTTTAAAATTCAACTTGCTCTACCCTTCACTTGTCATTTGAGTGAAATTATAAATTTATGAAATTTAGGATCAGATTATATAAAACTACTAAGTAAAAAAAAAAGGAAGTTAATAATAATTAAAGAAATAATTTGATATGTTTAGACCTATTTTAGTTACATTACAGTCAATTTTTGATTTTTCATAATTCCTGTTTTATAAGTAAAAAATTATGAAAATTTGACATTATCTTTTTTCTGTTTTCATAAAAAAATACTATTCAATTTTTATTAATAATTTTAACTTTCACTATTCATGACATTATAAAAACATATATATATACATAGGCATTTTTGCATTTTGTAACTTGCCCTGTAAAATAGTGATAAAGTTTAAATTTCAGATGTTATGTTTATTTTAAAATTTAGTTTTTAATAGTTTTAACAGTCCTCTTGCCCCAAAATATGTAAGTGTACATATTTTTAGCTTTCCACTACATGCAGCTTATACATTGCTTTTCGCTCCATATATACATACACATACAGACCAAAAAAAAGGAACGAAACCGTTTTTTAAAATGGGGGATTTTTGTTAGTTCAAGGCAAAGTAAAAATAGTATGTTCAAGACTAGTTAAAATTAGATGATGAAATTTTCCGAATGTTCATAAAATATTAAAATCTTTGAGTGGTGTGAAAATCAGCAAAATCAGATGTTTGGGTTGCATAACTGGATGTTTTACCACATTGCGACAGAAGAGATATCAGATTTAAGATCTGTGGCAAAAGATTAAAGCAAACAAAGAGTAACAAATTTTTATCAAAACTGAAGTAAAAGGTTGTGTTATCAACAATTAGATATACTTTAGATAAAAGATTGGCAACAAGATCATTAATATACATAATATAGAAACAATACAGAACCTATGATGAAACCTAGAAGTATCCTAAAAAATACTGGAAGAGAAGGAGAGTGTTGTGCTTTAATGAGGATTGAAATAATGCATCAGAAAAGAATGATTTTAATAGACATTACACAATAAGAGATAATGCCCATACTTTTTGTAGTGTTTGAGTATTTTAAAAATCTTAAACCCAATCCAATTAAATGTAACTAATTATACATGCATAAAACAATGATATTTATGATGGTACATCTACCTGAAGAAAATCCGTTAATAAAACCAATACTAATACTTTCGAGTAGAACTTTCTTGCTTTAGACCTCGGTAAAAAAATGATCGATGTAGACTACATCGATCACTTTTTTCACGCTATCCTTTTAATGTTTTGCCTACTACATTGTAGTAGGGAAAAACATTATAAGGATAGCGTTACAAACTAAAGCAAGGCAAATTATTATTCAGCTTATTATTTTAGGTTGTGCTTTTATTATTACAATTTGATAAAGTTACTTTATACAAACTTTTATTAAAATTCGCATAAATTTACTAAAAAGTTGTACGTATTCAGAAATAGGTTAATTGGATATACCTTATCTATATCTGTAGTTAACTCTTGTCCATTCAATGCAAACATGCTGTGATTTTTTCCCGCTTTTCTAGTTTCAACTGAAGGTGTCGAAAATGAAGGTGGGTTAGAAGACGACGACATCCCTTATTAGAATGTGGATAAATCGTTTACGTAATTAGTTTCGGAATTTTGAGTCAAAGTATCTCTCGATAACCTCGGAATGGTTAGCGAAAGAAAGGCCTACTTTATAAATATCAACTCAAGTTTTCGATTTTCCATAAAAACGCAGACCTGGGATGTTTAAAAGTACACTTAATTGTTAAAAACTTAAAAATAATTAATAAGTCTTGTTTTTAATAAAAAAACTGTTTGAAAAATTCTTTTTTCTTTAAATTAAAAAAATAATTTTGATAAAATACTGTGTTTTAAACTTATAAATTAAAAAAAAATCCTTCAAATTTTTTTTGAGCGGTTTTTCCACACTGCAGCGTGACATTTATAAAACAAATTAATGTACGCTCTAAAACTTTCCAAGTCTGCATTTTTATGGAAAATGGAAATCTCATTAATTTATATGAACAAGGGCCAACGGATTTAACACCGTATACGATTTTATCCACCTTATATTAAAGGGCCGTCCATATAGGACGTCGCCATGTTTTAGACAACTGTTGACTGCTATTCCTTGAGGAAGAAATAATTTTTTAAAACAAAATCTGTTCTTAGCTTAAGCGTTTATATTGATATTTTTCACATGAGTTACATTTTTCTGTTTGAAGTTCATTCAGTAGCTTATTGGATATTTCTGCTATTGTTTCGCAGTGGAAGCTATTAAAGTTCCACCACTGATATGGAACCATCAGGCCGTAAGAGTCTTAAGAGAAGAAAGAAATATATTATATAAGTGCAAGGGAGTGCTAGATAAATTATAATATTTGGACAGATGTCCAGTATTAAGAGGTGGTGTTAAAGAGAATGTATTACGAAAATACAGATTCATACAAAGAAAGACATTAATTCACATATTAAACTTGAACATTTAGAACACCACAAACACAAAGCACAATAATTAACACAAACTTACAGAACACTGAAACAACACTAACTTAAACCTAACTTAAAGAAAACTTACTTAACTCTAACTTAACTAGTGAATAATACTCCCCTCTTTAACACCACCTCTTAATACTGGACATCTGTCCAAATATTATAATTTATCTAGCATTTTATTATTGTAGGGTGGTAGGGTTCAAGTTAAAGTACTGTTGTTTCTTAGCCCTTAAGAGGTGGTGTTAAAGAGGGGAGTATTATTCACTAGTTAAGTTAGAGTTAAGTAAGTGTTCTTTAAGTTAGGTCTGCTATTGTTTCGCAGTGGAAGCTATTAAAGTTCCACCACTGATATGGAACCATCAGGCCGTAAGAGTCTTAAGAGAAGAAAGAAATATATTATATAAGTGCAAGGGAGTGCTAGATAAATTATAATATTTGGACAGATGTCCAGTATTAAGAGGTGGTGTTAAAGAGGGGAGTATTATTCACTAGTTAAGTTAGAGTTAAGTAAGTGTTCTTTAAGTTAGGTTTAAGTAAGTGTTGTTTCAGTGTTCTGTAAGTTTGTGTTAATTATTGTGCTTTGTGTTTGTGGTGTTCTAAATGTTCAAGTTTAATATGTGAATTAATGTCTTTCTTTGTATGAATCTGTATTTTCGTAAATATTTTAATTTTCCGTCTTATTTAATTTTGATGTTATTATGTTCTTTGTGATCGTAATCTTTGTTAAAAGCACTTTATAAGATATGTTTTAACATATGTTGATAGAACATATGAGAGTGTGGATTTTGTTGCTATTTTTGTAAGAACTATGTGCGGGGTGCAGTACAATTATAGCAACACAGTTTGGCTCAGTGGTGTTGGTTCGGGGCAGTATGATGCTTGTTAGGTAAACCAATAAGTTTCTTATATTATTTATAGAGAGAGTTATGTATATCTAGAATATTATATATATCGTGTATAATATATCCGATATGCATAGTATGTATGCTATAAAGCTTTAGTGATTACCATCGTAAATTGGAGGTAATAAATTAGTAGTAAATTAGTAGTACAAATTATTGTAGTATAAAAGTAAAACAAGTTGAGGGGAAGGTGCTGCGCGAGTGGAGTTCGGGGTTGAGGTCATCATAATGGTCGAAAGTTGTGGCATGGACAAACCTTCATCTCGTCAGGGCCATGTCGGAATGTCTAAGTTTGTTTCGAAGAAGTTAAAGTACTAAAACAACTCCATGGCCTACAGCTTAGTTACCACGTGAGGTTTAGATATGTGATGAACTCATACCCGAGGAGTCTCCCATTTCATCTGGTGTGCGTATCGAGCATTATAAGATCATACAGAATAGTGTAGATCATTATAATATGTTCTCACGCAATTATATAATACTGTAAGAGTTGATTTCGAATCTTAGGGAGTTGGGTACGGGAGAGCTGGTTTAGGCATAGAAGTATGCCTAAACCAGCCTAAACACCCATATAAGAACACAATACATGTATACACACCTAATGCATAAACACACGTCCACATACATGCACACGCATATGCGCATATAAACACGCAAACACATGCACACGCAAGTACACATATACTTGTGTGAGTATAACTATGCATAAAACAGATAAATCAGGTAACGGAGTGAAATAGAGTGAAATAGAGGGGGTTGGGTGCAAGAGTATGAATCCAAATATAAATGTATGTGCACATGTATATGCACATACAAATATATCTGTATGAACACTACCATGTATAAAACAGAGGTCTATACATACTAAGAGGGTAACAGGGTAGGGTGTGCATATATGCATGCAAACACATACGTCCCCACATGTCCGCATATACAGATGCATGCATATATGCATGCAAACACGCACAAATGATGGTTTAATTTATCTAGCACTCCCTTGCACTTATATAATATATTTCTTTCTTCTCTTAAGACTCTTACGGCCTGATGGTTCCATATCAGTGGTGAAACTTTAATAGCTTCCACTGCGAAACAATAGTAGAATTAGAAATACTAAGGCACAGTACCACCCTGGAACCCGAAGACAAAAAAGAAGGAGACACAACACAAAAAGACGAAGAACTAAGTGACAGCCAAATGCTAGAAACGGTAGGTTTAGTTCAAACCTTTACACCAAAAACATCTTAAAAACTATTAATTATCCCCCTCATACCCAACCCCCTAGGGTTGGGTATGAGGGGGATAATTAGGGTGGTGTGATTGATATGGCATGGGGTGATTCCGCGTTATATCAAAGTCAAACATGATGATTGCAATGAGAAACTACCACGCTTGGTCACGTTTGTGAGGAGAACATCTCATTCAAGCCTCCCGGTTGTCAACAAATAGAATCTGTTAACCCCTTAAGTCTTTGCCTAGGAGGTCTTTTACAAGACAGTAGCCAGATGCATTTAACAACTGCCCAAGATGAGATATTTGTGGCCGTGGTGCAGTGGTTAGAGCGCTTGCTTTTTAAGCAGGGGGTCCAGGTTCAAAACAAGCTTTGGAGATTAGTCGCATGTTGTTAAGTGGGAGTTTGTCAAACTTTTCTAATATGGAATTCACAAATTTGTAGAAAAGTCTACCATCTGAAATAGTGTTCAACATCTGTCAAGACATTAAAAAAACATCTAGAGCAATCTTGGGTTCATCAAATGCACAATTGCAAAATGGTAAATAATTACGTAGAGCCTCAAGTTATTTATCTTCATTAATGTCATATTTAAATAAGAAAATTTTATCATAGAAACTTTTCCAAACTGCGCAAACTTTAAAATTCAATTTTTTTTACTAATCAATAATTAAACTCTACTTGCAATAAAAAGCAATTACATTTAACATTAAGAAATGAATCTCAATAGTTTTTAGACTAATATTTTAGTTAAAAAAAATAAGAATAATCTCAAAAAAGAAAGTTATTCTGAAGTTTTTTTTATATCATAAATTTATTTGTGATTATTTTTTAGCTGATGCTCCATTAAGGTGCATCAGCTAAAAAATAAAAGTGGTAATAATGTAATAATAAGGTAATTATTAACTGAAGGTGGTAATAATGTTTACAAAATTTGCTCTGGCTGAATTTTTCAATGAAAAAACAATGTGTGCTATGAATGTAATCTGTTTTTCATGGCGTATCAATGAAAGTTTGGTGTATTGGCCAAATCACTTGCAAGCATCTTGCCTTTAAACTGCCATACGTAAAGTCACGCTTTTAAAAGCAACTTAAAGTAGCTGAAAATAAGAATTTTTTGGTAATTGTCTTATTTACAATATTGTTTTTTGTATTATTTACAGTATTGTCTTTGTTTTTTATCTAAACAGCTATGTTTGACTCAAATATAGTAAATGTTGATTGTTTAGTATGATTTCATCTCTTCTTTATACTTTTTTTTGACAGTTATGAGACTGCTTTAGAATGGAATTATCAGTGCCTCCAGCTTAAAAGGATGCAGATTACAAAAAAAGTGACACTAAGAGACAGATTGTCCCTCAGTTTCTCAAAGATTGAAGAAATCTTTAGTGTTTTAGGGTTAAGTGATTCCATCAGAGCTTTGCTTGACAACCTCTTTCGATTTATTGGATTTATTTGCCGGTTATAGATGAAAAAAGATCTTTTGAACCTAGAAGAAGAATTATGGAACAAAGACACCTTATGAAGCAATAGTATATATCAGTGAAATGATATTAGTTAATAGTTTTTGGAAACAGTACCATGTACTATTTAAGTTTCTAATTTTTAAAATATATGATACATTTATATGAAACATACAAACAAATGATACAATATGATACGTGATTGACAGTAATTATGTTGTATTTAAGAATGTTTTATATAAATGCTTATTACATTTTATTGTAATATTTATCTTTTATGCCCAGTTAACAATGTATTTTGAGTAGATATAACTACTAATCTCAGATATCTTTGACATCTATAGGGTGTATTCACCGCCACAGATGTCATAATCAATTTATAATCAATTGCTTTTATTCTTCCATAATGTCATATTTTAATAAGATTCACATTATGGAAAACCGTGTAATACCTACACATAATGAACAACTTTACTTTTAGTACAACCAAATATATTACATTTGTTTTCTTATTTTAGATGAACTTTCTTACTTCGGTTGGAGGAGATGAGAAGCAACTTACAGCGGCAATATTAATACAGCTAATGGCCAAAGAAGTATGTTTTTCATACTCAGTGTATGGAATGAAAC